TTGCACTCCCAGTTCATGAGCACCAGAAAAGCCAGCTAGCAAAGCTCTGTTATCCAGCCCTACTGGTCCTACCTTATTCCCAGTACCTTCATCTGAACTCAAATATCTAAACATCTTCTGAATTTATATACTTACATACTTCCCTGAGCAAGAATCAAAAGCAAAGGAAGTATTTGTGCATTAAAAATCCTATTCTGCTGAAAATCCATGTGTGCCAGGAAAGCAGAACATATGTACTGAATGCATTTCTGAGTGCATTCAGAGAGAAGTGCACTTTTGCTTTGCTGCTCATGACAAATCACATTCTACACTAGGCTGGGTCTTGTTGCCATTTTTCATCAACATTTCATCAAAATCCAACAAACTTGTAAAACAAACATCAACAAGACAACCAGCTGCATAGTCATCATGGCACGATGTGCTTAATCAAATTTTGGAAAAAACAACATTGCTGAAGCCAAACACCTGCTCTAGTCAACTCTAGTTGTCTCTAGTCAACACTCGTGAACACCCACACAAGTGTTGGCAGGACAAGGGACATTATGAGACAACAGGATGCTCCAACAACGTGCACCCACGGCACAGACAGCCCACTGCAGGCTGCCCACTTTGCTAGCTCAGTGGATGCTTTGAACCAAGTGGAAGAAGAGTTAGGGACACTTTCTGGTACTCTGGACTGCCCTTTTCTCTGTTCTACTCTTCCACTGGTTCCTCTGATCAGCTCTAAGAAAGCTGCTCTCTTGCTCAGTTCGAGGGAAAAGGGGTTATTTATTTACAGAGGAGGAGGCAACAAAGTACAATCCATTACAACATCTCAAACATTAAATCCACCTATGCTACTTTGGGCATGAAGCTGTTTCTCAAAGATGACCTTGCTATTGGACAGTGAATTACTTGCTTAACCTAAACAGCATGGAAACAGGAATGGGCACAGGCTGACTCAACAAATCACCTTGGTCTTACTTGTAAGCTTCTTAATACTAGAAGCCCAAATATTTACAAATACGTGGCTTTTCAAATGTATAGCTGATATATTGCCAATGTCCAACAACAAGCAGTATGATATGCAACTTCTTGTTCCAGCAGAAACTGCCACTGACGTTGAGAAACCAGAAGGTACCGTCACATCAGCAGCATTAAATCCTGGATGGAAGAAATCTTCTGTTTCCAAACCGGGCAGACTGAAGCACATAGCATGCCTAACTCCAGGCAATCCCTAGCAACCTGCTGTTCCTTGCTCTTCTGTGCTACCTCTGCCAATGGAGGTGCAGAGGGAATATCTAATCCTGCGATATTCAACCGTCCGCGTGTTGCTTACAGGTCACAGACATGTAATATCTCCTACGTTCCTGCTGGGAATCCCATCCTTCACACTATTTTCCTGGCATGGCTGTCTGCTCCAGTTAGAAGGAAGCAAGGAGCGCCTGAATGGGCTTGGCAAATCTACTTGGATACTGGAAAAATTTCACCAAGGAAAAAATGGATCTATGCTCACATATGTAAATCATGGTGTATAGCAGCACCAGATGTCAGAAAATGTTCAAGTAACCAATTCACTTCTTTTAACTAACAAAAAATCAGAGAACAGCCACAGGGATTATTATGGTCAGCGCAGGGAGCTCTGGGAGAAGCAGAACAAATTTCCTTCATACTAAATGAGGATGCACTCTTACAAGACTCTTTTAAAAAGAAAATCTCTATTCTATTGGTATGAAAATGCAGCTGTTGATGAAGTCGGGTATTTAAGGGCACGAATACCTCTGCAGCTTTGTGATAGGTACAATTCTTTCCCCATTACTTTCTTCTTCTAAAAATAAGACGCAGCTCCAGTGGATGTGTGGACCAGGCACTACATATAGGTACTCTGAATTTATAATCTTTGAAGTATTTTAATACTTTTTGAATGGCAAACTATTAAAAAAAATCCTGGTATTCTTTAAATAAATTCTCCTGCACTGAAGTACTGAGGATTTCTCTTGCTCTGCATCTTTTGCAAGCTCTCAAATTCACTCGTAGGACCAGTGCAATTCTAGTCCTGGGGAGGCTGAAGCCCAAGACTTCACCCGTGAAAAGGTCTTAAACTGAAATATTGCTAGGGTACATAACAGGACACTCAGCAGTAATTTATAAACTCATTGATATGGATATATAGAGGTATTTCTAGTTTGTTAGAACAAATTCCACTATCCATCATCAGCATAGTTATAGCCCACATCCATCATCCACACCTCAGTCACCTTGCTCATTCTCATTCTGCTGATTCAGTTTTAAGTTTTATATCACTTGATAGAAATCTTTCAAAAAGGTCACAAAATTGCATTTAGTGAAAGGACAGCAGTTCCAGGTAAGGGATCCCCAGTAACTACTCCTTCTCCAGGTAACTGTTTAGTCCAATTAACTACACCCCACAGCTATCTGTAGCCTCAGCCTCCAGATTTACACTGGTAATGATCATCATGCTAGCGAGGAAGAAATCGCACTACAAAACATATCTGCAGCATTACATTTCCTCAGCGCCCATTTTCTAAGGCCCATACTTTGTGTCACCCATTCTCTGTGTCCCAAAAAAGGGGTTTAGTAGTTCTGACTGTCTGATCTTCTATCTGGGATTAATGGGATTGCAGATAAGGTTGGACAACCAAATGAACACACTCGCTGCAATGCTAATGGAACATCTTTCCAGCAGCAACCCAAACCAGAACTTACTGTGATCGGTTTTGTTCCACACTCAAACATCTGCAAAGGCACATCAGTTCTGAAACAGCATGTTTAGTACTTTCCATGTACATTGCCTGTGTGTTGCCTAGCACCTAGAAATTAAGTCCTCAACTGGTTCTGCTCTTGATCTCTTTTTAAAAAAGATATGGGAACAATGAAGAAGAAACATCACTTACCTATACATGTGGGCTGATTTATAACATCCAACTGAATTTTAACATCAAAACAATGCTGTGCATTTCATTAAGTGCTATTACAAGCACTTACATGTGTTTATGGATTCACATAGTTAAAAATACTAAGATTTTGGAATTGATTTAACCATACAACATTGACTTGGGGTCAACTTGCTTTTATATCAGAGCAAAAGACCATTATGTTTGTTTTTTCTTTTTTGTTTGAAGCCTTTGACTTTTGCGTCTTCTATCAATGTACATCATCAACAGCATTAAAAACATTCCTGAAATGATCAGGCATTAGTCCAAGTGGTAAAAATCCTTCTGGTGGGATATTAGATATAAACATTGCACGACTCCGAGATGACAAAGCTTTTTTATGCATCCTTATACTCACCCAGGATGCATTCCATGTTCTCCTTGTATTCTGTTTGCACGCATTCTCTAGAACTATTTGATTATTTCTGATATTTTTATGCAGGGTAGTTTGAAGTGTTATACTATTCAGAACTTGCTGTTGGTAGTAAAACTTTCCAAAGAAGTGCTTCTTAGAAGACTGACTTGGTAGGTGCTTTGGTTTTCAGCCGTGCTGGCGACCATTGAGCAGGACCTTCATAAGCTGGCACTGTCCTTCTCCAGCAGTACAGCCCCATCTCCCTTTGTTGAAAGCTGTAAAAAAAGGTCAGTTGCAGAATTTTCAAAATGTTGTGACTTGAGTGTTGTAGGACTTCATAAATTAGTATCAATCACATTATGTTTCACATATCCAAGTGTAATCCACATCAGATATCTGGAAAAGCTATGATGCATGGCTGTTTCTCTGCGTGGGCTAGTGTAGATGTAACAGCTCAAACTTCCTTCGTCAATTTTCAGCCCTTGGTAGTCAGGCCAAGCACAAGCACAAGAGCTGAGCTGAGACCATCACAAGCTCCAAAAAAAGAAGGAGCTGTAAAGTTTAGTCCCAAGAACAATTTGCATACATTTTTATTAGTAAAAATAAAAGTAGGCAATAAACATTTTGAAACAGGTCATGTATTTGCATCCATTTATTTCAGCAAGGGTGACAAATGTTGCCACCTCATGGACAGGTGCAGGGTTTGAAGTAGCTCAGCAGTCGGAAGGAAAACGGATCACACAGATGACTCATTGCTGCCCTTTCACATTCTCCCGAGGAGGGAAATGACAGCTTGGCCAGAAGGATGCTTCTGTTGCTTAGATTCACCTGGAACTCCTTCATCTGAGTCCAAATCCAGAAGCAGAAGCCTGGCTATACATTCACAATTGGAAAAAAAAAAATAAATAGAAAGAGCTACACACGTTCAGGGTATTTGACCATCTCCAATATCAAGACAAACATGTAGTTTTCTTTTTAGAAATCCATAGTGGTCAACACACGACGTAGCTGGTCTTAAACTATTAAAGAGTCAAAGGCAAGCATTAAGGAACAAAATTCCCAAATAACAGGCTGTGGGGCCCTGAGTCTTCGAGATGGTGAAAAAAGCTTTAGATTTATGAAGACAATAATCCTTAAGAGGGCCAGTGGATTTCAGTACTCTACAGAGGTAACACCAGCTGGGACTCCTCTGCTTGTAAATTGGAGACAAATATAGTTTCACTATATGTTTCCAAAATCAAAGCTTTATGCTGTTACAGAATTACATTGATTATTCTTTATTACACCTTGCTTGGGCAACCACTACAGGAATACTTTGTCAACTGCTGAACCTCTCCCTTTCCGATGGAACGGCAGCTGTGCCACACTTCTCTATAGGACAGGCAGTGTTACAAAAACCACCACAGTGTGCATCTTAAATTATATTCTTTAAAACAGTATTATAATTAGCACTCCACAGAATTGGAGCTTAAAGGGAATGTAAAATGTTGAAGAAAAAAAAAACCTTTCAAGTTCAACATCACGTTAGAATTTCATGAATCAACGAGTTTTTAAAAGCAAGTATCATAAAAATAGATTCATAGTCAACATTTATGAGTGGTCTGAAAAAGGACAGTATGATGATTAATTGGGAGTTCCCAATCACTGTGATCTCCGTATAACAGTGTAACACTCTGCCTACGAATGACTGAAGAGAAAGCATTTATACCAGCTTGATTTTAAATATTTTGCTTTTATTTATTGTATTTCACTGCTCCACTCTTCTAAAATGGTAGCCTCAGGAAAAGCTACTTTGGCAGGCAATTGGAAAGATTCCTGTGGAGAGGAAGTGAAAAGACTGGGCATACAAACAAGGGCTGCTGCCATGTTCAAAGCACTGGGGAGAGTTCATAGAGCAAAATGCAGTCCTAAGTAAATGGGTTTCAGGCAATTTCAGTGTTAAGATAACATCATTAAGAGTAGAACAGATTGTGCTCAAACCCTGCTGTTTATAATTAACACATTGCTTCCAAATACTCCAGGGTCCCCGGTAAATAGTCTTCTGCTCAGATCTACCCAGACCAATCAGAATATTTTCATCAGAATCCATGCTGGGCCAGCACCTGTTTGGACAAATCCAAGAGAGCCAAAATACTCCTCATTCTGGCCAGCTAAGTAGAGAGATGAACACAGCTTGCCTTAGTCATTGTCACAGTGTCCATATGGCTGTGAAGCTTGTTTTCACAAGAAATCGTACAAGTACTTTATTATGTCGAAGTTCACAGTCCTATAAACAAAAACACAGTATATTTGAGCAAGCATCGTAACAGTGCTAAGACTTCAACCTGCTTGGAGACAGATATGTGAGACACAGCACTATCAAAATCAAGGAATATCTCCAAATAAAAGCCATTGAGATTTAATTTTTAACTTAATTTTTAATTAAGTTCCTAGCTTCTATTTATTCAAGTTTTGTTAAGTTTGAAAAAAATAAAGCAGCTTTCTAGCAACAACTGATTCTTATTCCAGTCATTAAGCAGCAAAAATATCTAAGTAAATGCATTTTCATATGGTAAATATGATATTCCTGTTGGCGATGCAAAGTTGCAGCCTTTTATGCTATTGAATGTTTTGTTCATTTTCCAAACCACCTGTTTTACCATGTACTACATAACTCCTTCATCTCCACTCATTTGCAGTCTGTGTTCTTTCAGTCTTGACACTAGTTGACCCATATTGGTAGCTAAATTTGAAAAATCCGAGAACACTACTCAATAGGATAGAAGATTTTAATGTATACTTTTATACTTCAATAGCAGGCAGAATGAACAGCAGTAAAATAAAACATATAATTATTTTTTTTGTCTTCAAACTCATTCTGTCATGCATCTAACACTCAGACTTTGAGATTTACTGCCTGAACAAATAACACAAATTACTGCATATAATGGCAAGGATAAAATTAAAAGTTTTTTTGGTTTTTGTGTTTTTAAGTATTCAACGATTCAAAAATAACTGTTCTCAATGCTAAGTGAGATTAACTGTCTGAATGTCTTATTTTCTAGGCTGCAATCATTTAATATTCTCTACTCACACACTGTTCTGTAACCCACTTTTCAAGAAGTTTTTATAGAACAACACGTTGAGAAGAGAAAAAGTTCAGAAATCCCCATGATACCTAATAAGATATAAGGTGTTGGAGTCTACCTAATAATCCAATGGCAAAACTGAAGGAAATTAAATGCCACTGTTAGATTCATATTACCTTATGTTGCTCAATAAAAATGCTAGTTATAAAGCAGAAACAAACTGCATTGTAACAAACATCAACCTTATTAGCTAACTGGAACTCAGCCACTGTCATAAGAACAAGATCATTAGAGACTATATGAAAAGCTTCATGACGTTCTATGAACATTAAGTCATTCTTACTTCAGCTACAGAAAGATTATGAACTTGAGTTTGAGATCTGTTTATCAGAAATGAAAAGTTTCTTAAAAAGAAATGCCTCAACTGACTTGAACTGAAAATGTAAATACTACATAGTAAAAAGCATGGGAATTTATCTGCAAAGGCTGAACGTATGTAACAGAACAGAGAGAGACATGGAGCTCTATAGTATTAAACTGAAAGACCCTGGATTGGAAGAGGTTACCACACTAAAAGCCACCTGAAAGTCAACTAAGTTTGCTACTCTTTTTCAAAAGCAGGTGTGTTTTGGCTTAAAAAAAAAAAAAAAAAAGCTGACTCCATTCTTGCTCTAGATAAATAAATAGATAAATAAATAAATGCTGAATACCTTGAATAGGGGTGGGGAGAGGAAGAAGAGAGCACAATTGCCTGCCCTACTCTCTTGCAGAAATAAGTTTGTCCAGCAGCAACATTGAAATGCTAACAAGGATGAGATCTTTGAGGGTTTTGATGACTAAAGTTATTTTAGTGCTACTGTAGTAACGGAGATGAAAGAATCAGGAGACAGTCTGCTTACTCAAACTGTACTGTGGTTGAAATGCCAAAGTAGTTCCATTTCTTCCACTTCTTCCATTTGTGGTTAAAAACTACAGGCAGCTGCAACGTTAGAGCACAGCTAGCCAATGATCATACATTCAGCCTTTAGCAAGTCTCATCAAGACAAGGGAGAAACCCATTTATTGTGGCTTCATGAAACTTTTAATCTCAACTATGTCTTTTTTAAGGATATAATAAAGACAGTGGGTTGGAAAAAAACTCAAAAATGTGTAACAAAGGAATAATCACAGAAAAAAACAAAACAGGATTAAAGAAAAGTCCAACTTTAAAATGTCAGATCACTTAAATGGACCTATTTGTGCAGCTTATACACATTCCCAAATTACTTGGGGGTGGGGAGGGAATTGCTGACTTCTTCATAACTTGTATGAAGAATCAGTCAGGATACATGCATGCACATCTGACCTAAAGGCCAGAGCAATGTGCTGTGCACTGAGGTTTGAAGTGACAACTTCTCTATCAACTTTCTCTGTTAAACATGAGCTGCATAGCCCAAGTTTTGGTCCTGTTTTCTCTCCACCTGTACTGTATGGCAACTCTAATGGAGTCCACAAATGTTCAAAGGATGTTGAAGTTGTAGGCGAAGGCCATCGTTTCAAGTGTCTGAATTTGAGAACTCATAGTACAGAGTTTAGAACTGGTTTCTGTACTCATAGTAAGTCAGAGCAGAAGCAAGAGCATGGGGATGTCTGCACACAGTGATCCATGTTGCTAAACAGATGGTCTGCTGTACTTGGTACCAGTGGGAGCTTTTTCAGGGCATCATTCACATGTGACTTTATTGCGGGGAACAGCAAATTGATGTAGCAAAGCCCTGGAGATGCTAGCAGTTATGGCCCAGCCAGGTCTGAACAAGATGAAGTTTTGCTTCACTGTGCCTGTGTGGTTCACTGACCGGACTATCAGACATTTCGTAGCTCAAGGAATCAACTTGTGTACTGAGGATAGGGGATATAGTCTGAAACACAGATTCCTCTGAAGTCCCATATTACAGAGGAGAGGTGGCCTTCATAACCTTTTCCTTTTTGCCACGTCATTCCTGGGCTCTGGTCTGGCTACATATTCTTTTACCAAGACCTGCTAATTGAGCTGGCTGCAGCAACATGTGTGAGGTAATACTGTTTGGATTTCATGTCAGTGAGACATCAGTTGGATCGCTGCCTATATATTGCATGCAGTTTTGTCTGTAATTTATCACCATCTCTCCTGATGCATCTGGAACTGCTCTCCAACTCCCAGACTGAAGGCTTTGAAGGAACAGGTAATTACTACCTTTGACGTATTTACACTGAATTACTGAATTAGTCTGTATTAACTACAGAAGACAGACAACATGGAAGATTTCTTATAAAGTAGGCAGCTTTTGTATAAGTTGTAAAATAACACTTCTGAGAATTAAATATCAGTTTGGACTTTAATACCATAACGTGTCTCTGGTAATAAAATGGATTGCTGTTTTAGATCAGTATATTCACAGGAAGTTCCTGACTTTCATTAAACACAGAGACAGTATGTTACTATGACACACTAAAGCAGTTCCCTGGCCTACTCCTGTCACTCTAAGATAGCTGTTTTTCAAAACAGGATTGAAACTTATCTCAAGTTCAACACCTCCTGTAGATAAGACTCATTCACTCATTCTTCAAAGATATCCACAGATACCCATTCTGATCTGCAGAGAGCTAACATAAAGACTGGGAAAAATACAGGTTTTAAGTCCCATTCAGACTGGCACATATAACACTAAGGGTCTCTAGAAGGCTCACCGGGCAATAGCTCTGATGAAGTCCAGAGATACGGTACATTTGTATCGGGGTCCATCAAGCTGGTCATTGTTGCCAACCACGGACAACAACTGGAGAGTCACAAGGGAGGTGATCTGCAAACAAGAAACATCAGTAATATTAATCATTTTTGCTAACATGAAGAGCAGTGGCAATCTTTTTTTTTCCTATTTGTCATCAGTGTGTCTTCCCAAGTTACAATATTCTCATACTTCAGAAAGTTACTCTTAGTTTCTCACTGATTTTCACATAGTCCTGGAACTAGAAAACTCAGGAATGTTTGTACATTTTCTCTATGACATTTTCAGCACAGGCAGTGAGGCATACAAGCTAAATCCTTCAAATCAAAGTTATTCTGGAGTTCCGATCAGAGAGAGGAAGATCTTGGGGGAGAATAACAGGCATGAAGTGAACATCTTCCAAATCTCTGCCTGACAGCCAGGACAGACTTTGATTCTCTTTCCTTTGTATCTGAAGACCTCCTCATCAATTTTCACACTCGAAGTTGAATTTTCTTGTTCCAGCTCATACCACATTTTGAACAGATGGTTAGTATCACTCTATTCCAGCTAAAAGAAAGGAATTCAAAGGTCAGAAAGAAAATGCCTGAAGACCACGTGCTTAAAATAAGTAATGCCTGAAAGGACAGAAATTTGCCTATAACAACTCATGCAGTGCCTTGGCAGAGCTGCCGATTATTGCAGCGGTACAGCAATGTACCAGCATATTTGTCACTGTCTTCTTCTTCCCAGGGATGACTGCAGTATCACCGAAGTGCAGTCAAAGGACGTCAGCACTGAATGCAGTCAGGCTATTCTGCCTCAGGAAAGAATCCTGCAGTGATTCTGCTGCCGCCCTGCCACCACCCCTGGGAAAGAAATAGGTAAAAGCAGAGAACGAGAAAATATTTCCCTAGCCTTTGCAAAAGATGCTGCTGACAACTCAGTGCAACAAGAATTGGTATCTCAGCACAGCCCTACTTTTCAGAAAACAAACAAGCAATCACCACCACAAAACAAAAGGCTATGATCTGCTTCTGTGTAAAGATAATACAGTAAGGAATATCTGAAGCATGAACGTATTGAGAAAGAGCATCAATTCAAAACTTTAAGGAAGCATGTGCTATAAAAGATAGCAAGTATCAGAATCAATTAAAAAAAACCCAAACTCAGTAATAACCCCACTTTTCCACTGGAAGTGAACTTTGTCTTCAAAAGTGTGCCAAAACTTGCAGGAGGTACAAATTTCCCTCATGTGGACATGATATGAAAAAATGACACTTGTGGAGAATAGAAAAAAATACAAGCATCAAGAGTGAGGCAATCTTTTACATGAGTTTGTGCTTAACTTTCTTTATATGGCATTAGGCAACAGTAATTAGGATGTCATCTTTCTGTAAGGTATTTGGAGTCTGGTTAAGGAACACAGGCCTCTCTCTGCTCACCAAGACAAAGACTTAATTCAGCTCAGTAAATCACATTAAAGAGAAGCAGATGATTTACAAATTATTAGTGCTGAAAGCTTAAGAAAACTGAACTTGCTATAGTGTACATGGCTCAAAACACAGATCATTAATCATTTTGGACTTGTCGTTGAATAGTAACCTATCTCAAACTTGTTATGTGTTTGTTTTCTTAGAATACTCATGAGTTTGAAAGCATATTTTTCTACACTCTTCATCCAACAAAGTCTTTATTAGCTAGTGAAGAAACACAATGTAGTAGTCTGCTGTTGCAATTACTGTTTTACATCCCAGTGCCCTATTACTGCCTAATCACTTCTGTGATATGCACTTGCAGCTGGCCTCATGTTCAGGAATTACCAGTGAAGGAACTGCAGAAGGCCCCTCAAAGCTTCCAGTGAGCCCAGCAAAAGCCTAGAGATAGCTTGGAGCTATTGCAGTTTTGTGAGATGCAATAGTGACTTTGCTGCTGCATTGCAAATGTTCCAGCCATGATTTAATAGCAAATCATAATTGATTTTTTTCCAACTATCACCAAATGCCACATATGTAACATAAGGTCAGCAGTATAAAATTCCTCACTGAAGGCTGACACTAGAAATCCAAAAGCGTCAGACTACAGGAGAAGTTTCATTAATGTTTCAGACCCAATACTACCAGACACAAGGTTTTTGATCATGTCAGAATTAGTTAGTAAGCAAGCCACATTCTACTCATTTCTTTGAAAAGTCCTCCACTTATTTAGCTTAATAAAAATGTCATCATAGTGAATGTCTGAACACTGAGCTCCGTAGTTGAGACTGCTTAAAAAGGAAGAAGTAGACAGAATTGCTGTTTTCAATTCATGCATGTTTTTAATTAATTCAGGTAGGAAACAGCTCTCTCCCTGAAGGGGCTCAGAACTGACAAAAACAGAGTCCATATCTCAGGGAAGCAGCCCTGGGATCAGGCCACCTACAGAAAGTCAAAGGTTACATTCCAGAATTCCTAACTTGCGAGTCTTCAGAGTAGAATTCAAGACCTAGCTAGATATCTGCTCCGTACATGGAGACAGGCAGAGATCTCAGGAGGACACATGCAAGAGCCTCCATGTGGTTCTGTGGGCAGCAGCCCAGAGCTCTGTTTGCACAGCTTTCTCAACAGGTTCAGGAAAAATCAAAACCAAGGGTTTTATGAGGGTTCTGTCACACAGCAATAACTTTTTTTGGTTTGCTTGTTTCCTGTTTTATACAAATACAACACAACACCTCCATGGATAGGCCAGCGACAGAACGGGGTGATGCACACTTCTGGCAGTAAGCTGTTTTGTCAGAAGATTCAGTTTTGCTACAACTGGAATTAAGTCCCTGAAGCATTTTGCACTCAACCCATCTATCTAGATCTGATTCATAGGAAAGATGACTTTCTTCATCAGTTATTATATCATCTAGGTCACAGAAGGCTCGATTTTCCCTCACATTAGGGATTTGGGCTCCCTTAGCTGAGCATCTGGAACTTACCTGGGGCATGGGTAACTTCAGAGGTAATCTATTCTTAAATGAAGAAATGTCATCATATTTGGAAAAAATAAAAGAGTAATTATACTTCTTAGCACAAAGAAGTGTTCAAAGCTTTTTTTTTTTTTTTTCCCTCCTTAAACACTGTGCATTCAGTGGCTGCATTTCATTGTCACAAAAGCTGGAAAAAAACATCTGGCAAGAAGAGCCTAGCAACTAGCCAGAAGAATTGTGTGGGTGACATAAAAGAAGAATATTTACTGAGAATCTTCTGAACAAAGGAAATTACAGTTGGGAGAAATATTTTAAAGCTATTCATAAAATTAAAGTTCTATGTGGCAATAATTTAACACCAGCAAAAGCTAATAAGTAAATGGAATTTTCTACAAGAGGAACAAGAAAATTTAAAGAAAAGTTAACGGAAAGAGAAAAAAGAATAGGTGTCATTTTTATGTTCTAAAATAAACCAGGACCGAGCTTTCTTCGGAATGCATTTATGTGAGAAACCTGCTGCTGAAAGCCTGGCTGCAAGGTGGGAATACCCACACATACATGGCCAGTTGTTGCTGCAGTGACCCCTCAGAATGCTTCTGAAGATTCGCTGGTCAGAGACAGACATGGAGAAACCTCTGGAAAAAACACAGAGTCACCCACCAGCCATCCTTAAAGGCTGCCTTTTTCCTATCAGCCTGAGCTAACAGACGGCCTTGCATCATTCCCCCAGAGAAACAAAGGCAGGCTTTGTTAGCATGCTGCTGCGAGGGGGCAAGAAGAATTCCAGAAGTGAAAGCTGTCCATGGGGAAAGGCCAGGCTCTTCCCATCGACACGGCATGCCTGAAAGCACTGACAGAGGTGCAGAACACAACTGAATTCAGAACAGAGGTACAGGCACACAAAGGTTTGGTTTGGTTCCGTAACAACAGACTACCTCAGGAAGAAGTCTGGATAAATCGTGTGGCATATCTTGAAGTTAATGGATAAAACTAAAGTGAGAAAATGATGTTGACTGCTATAAGAGATGTGACTGAAGTATCACCAAGTGGAACACTCTAAACTGGACTAGACAAAATTCTATTGAAAAATACTGCTTTAGGAACCAATCTCAAACTGGCAGAGATGTACTGGATGATCTACAGGGTATTTTTCATCTCCACAGTCTACAATTTCTAATTACCTTGCTGTACTATTAACCACAACTCTTAAGTCTCGGTTACTTTCTGAAACTGACAGCTTTAACCTATTTTATGATTCTGAACCTCAAACCAGTCAAGGTATTAAGAACTTCCATAATTTAAGCTATAATACTCAAACAAGAGTACTGTATTATTTCACAATCATTAAAATCTATATGCACCCATGTACTCTGCAGTACCGCCACCACACAGCTCTCAAAGCACAAATCAGCTTGTGCACTTGTTCAAACCCCACTGCTGCTTGTAGTTCAACTCAGGCACACGATAAAGCTGCAGCTGCTCAGCAAGACAGTCTGAAAACCAGATGCTATTTAGAAAGCACCTTTCAGTCAGCATGACTGCAGAACCAGTCTCCTGGAGCTGAATTCAATGACCCCAGCACGAATTACGTGAGCAGAAAAAACAACCACTCAAAATGATTTCAATTAAAATTATATCCAGAGTATGTTCAGTGTGCCAGCCCTGGTAGGAAAGCCAACAAAAGGGAAGTTAACGATAGAAATAGCAATTAGATATATTTAAGCCAGCAACTGATCAAAACTGTTGTTATAAAAATTATTAAAAGTAAATCAATATTTTTCTGAATGCTTACACTTTAACAGACAGTTAAATACTTTGTAAAGTATTTTGTCAAATTTTCCATTGGTAGCGAGTCAAAGTTTCCATTCTCAGTAGCACTCCAATATTTCTAACTACACCATACCATTCTTGCCTTATTCTTTACCCTGTCAAACTTCTTACAGCCTTTAAGTGTACAGTTAAAGGTTCACTACTATAAGCTTCGGTTGTCATCTTTGTCTCAGCTTAAATTATTCCTTCTCTCTTTCAACCATCTTCTGAATGTAACCCTAATGTTTCTGGCCAAAGCCAGAGAGATATCCCAGACATGGCTCCAGGGGAGGAACACTGTTGTCTTCCCACTGGTAACACACAGGGTGTCTCA